TGTTCATGTGCATGTAAACTCGTACAGCCATTTGGAATACAGTCTGGAGATTACTGAGAAATCCACACCTGGGGATTCACCCAAATGAAATGAAATCAGCACAGGTCACTGTAGCTCATTTCACAATGTATTTCTAAAAAATTTGTAGCATATCTTCTTCACCCATGCAACTTGTTTGCGCTTCTTGGCTTTTACGAAAAATTCTGCAACAAACATGGGCATACAGATAATTTCTCAACAAGCTGGTTTCCTTTCCTTTACATCTACACTCGGTGGTACAACTGTTGAAAAATACGTTAGCCCTATTTTTAAGTTTTTGAATAACTTCCATACTGTTGAAAGGAATTTAGAATCATTTATATTTTCAGAGCTGGGGGTTGATCTCCAGAATGACTTGGGACATCTTCCACTGCTTTTCCAGACTCCTTGGAAGGGAGCTGGACCAGAAGTGGAACAGCCAGAAGACCATCGAGGCACACATGGGATGTTAGCATTGCAGGTGGTAGCTAACCAGTTGCATCACAATGATGCTAGCCACACTCTGCTGTTGATGTTTAAACATTATTTTTATTAAGCTTAGGTGCACTAAATTAACTTACTGTATTTCTGCTATGCCAGGAACTAGTTTAGGTGGTAGTAACATGACAGAACAAACAAAAATCCCTGCCAAATTGGACATTATATTCTAGAAGTGACAGATAAACAGTTAAAAGATAGGTCAAGGAGGTTTTCAAGGGAATAATCCCAATGCAAAAGAGAAGTGTCATCATAATAGCGTTGAAAAGAGTACATGGTCAGGATGGGGTAACACCTGACGATGTGAAGGCTTGAACAATGATCACTGGTGGAAACAGTAAGCAAGGGTGAAGGTCCTGAGACCAAAAATGAGGTAAGCGTATTCAAGAAAAGGCAAACCCAGTTAAGTCTTACTAAGTCTTTAAGAGAATGAATAATAAAAGATGCAGTAAAAGAAGAGAAGGAACCAGACCACATAGAATCTTTGGTACATTTTATTGTGATACGTGAAGGCCTTCCAAGTTCTTGGGAAGCAGAATAATGATCTAGTTTAGACTTTGGAAACATCATTTTCAGTGTAGAAAAACAAAAATAGGAGAAAAGTAAGAAAAGTAGAAACAAATCCCAATTTGGAGGCTCTTCAGCTTTACACATTCTAGCAAAGAATGTCAAATAGGCACTAAGGAAGAAGAAGATAGAGGCGGAAGAATGGTCCGGGTCAGCACACACATGATAGTTATATTCAAAGGACTGAGTGAAACCATTACGTTAGTGTAGGTGTATGACTGATGATTAACACCTACGACGGCTCTTAAACGCTTACAGTTCAAGAACAGAATATCCCAAACAAGCAGTTAATGACCAAAAAAAAAGAGAAGTGTTTAAGTGTTTTCTTACTATCTAATGTCCTGTAGAAAGATGGTAAATTAAGAAGAAAAATATTTTCAATAATACCTTGGAATACAAATTATAATGGTATATGAACTATTTTATGGCATTAACATATGGTTTCTAATAGTTTCAAAAGGACAACCCACAGAAGAAATTCAAAACATGACCATAATGACAAGATAAAGGTTCAATTGTATAACAAATTCCTTCAAGGAAGTCTATATTTAAAGAAAAGTAATATTTAAAAATAAATTTAAAAACAGTCTGTTTCTAGGAAATCAAACACCTGGGATCTATTTGTGGCTCAGGTTAAGCCACTGTCTGCTATGCCAGCATCTCACATCCTTTGCTGCTGCACTTCCAATCCAGTGCCCTGTATCACAACTGAGAGCAGAGGATGACTCAACTGCTCGAACTCATGTGTGATACTAAGCTGTAGCATCAGCACCCCCAGCACCCTATTTTAATTTACACATGAAAGATTCATATTAGATAGAGTCCTAATCTAGTAACTTAACATACTTCAAATAATTCAAATCTGAGATGCTAAAATCCCAAATAATTTAGTTTACATTTCATGGAGATGGATTTCAACAATGCATTTTAACATTTACATTCCTATATTTATCCACACTAAAATGGACTATATGCAAATTACATGCAGTTATATTTAAGTAACAAGTAGAAAAAGGTAACGTACATTGTACATGCTAAATAATTCACTTTACTTGACACATTAAGTATTAATATCTAATCAAATATTTAGAGAAACTGAAAGATGTCTAGATACAATTTATCTTCATTATTATTCATTTAAGAAATATTTACTGATGTTCTGGAATGTGACAAGTATCATTCTAGATACTGAAAATTCCATAATAAAGAGATGAAGTCACTGTTATCAGAGTTATCATTCTACTCCAGCACTTCAGTTAATTTCAGGGTTAACATCTAGCAGGAAGTCAATTTTGAACTATTTCTAAAGTAAAGTTTATGGAAAAATAGTTAAAAGTTCACCTTTGTGCTGGAACACTCTCCCCCATTCTATGTAGTTGACCCTGAAGTTTCATTTCTGCTAGCTTCTGAGAAGGTCTAATGTCACTCCTTTTCTTACCATCTATTAAACAATGTACAGGATCCTACTGCTAAAATAGTTTATAGTGTGTATAAAGGAAAAATAGAAATCTATGATAAATACATCATATTCCTACAGTTTCTTTGTGCTCTCCTATCTGAAATAATGTTAATTCCAATTCTGCAGTGTTAAATTGGAGAGAATAAAAGTTTTTGTTATTGAATACTTTGAAAAATTCCCACACAAAACATCCTTCTCATTAATTTCTTTCTGTGGGCTCAAATGTTCCTAAGTCAAAACCAAAAGACACCTTATTTAACTTCTGTGAGTTTGTCACTGTTACACTGATAGTAACAGTATCTACCTCCTAACATGGTTTTGGAATTGAATGACATAAAGCCTATCGTAGTAATAACAGCTTACATCACTACTGGCACCATCCTTAACAAGTTGGGAAAAAAAATAAGCAAATGACAAAAAGAATATTAAAAAATTCTTCGTTTTGGCAAGATAATCATTAACACATTCATACACTCCTCAAACAAGGCAATGGATTTAAAGTATTGGTAATACTAATGCCACCGATATACAGAAATCCTAAAAATCACTGTGTTTGATAAATTTTCAGGGAACAGAAATTTCACTAATAAGCTGCCTTATTAACATTTGTTTGCCACTCCAAAGATATAAAGTGTTCCCTCTGTTTTTAATATATAAATATATTTAATATATGTAATATATATTTATATACAACATATTATGCATTTATAATATGATATATAGCGTATATAACATATAAAATTATCATATATTATAATTTATATCATATAATTTGATATGATAATTTATGATATATGATATATTATTTATGATAATTATAAATAGATATTATATAAAATATATATTGCCTTTTATTTCAAAGTATAGTTAACAACAGAACTCAAAAGATAACAAATAAATTACTGGAGTTATGATCATTTATAATACTGCTATTAATTCTAGTCCATCCTGTTAGGCTGTACTGAAAAATCACTAAACTGATCCTACTTAAAGAAAAATTTAAAATAAACAACAAAAACTGCCACGAGTAACAACTAGAAATATCCTAGGCTTAACTAAATTTGAAAAAAAAATGATGAAGGACTATAAATAAAGGAATTAACAAAGACCTGAAACAAAGCAAAACAGCAGTAAGGATCTTGCATTTAAAACTCTTCATTCTTTCAATGGATCTTCAAGAAAACCAAGAAATCCCCACATGGAGAGCGTCACTAAATAGCCAAGAACACTCACCCAACCATTGGTAGGAGACCTCTTGGAGACCCAGATGCTTGAATCAGCTGAAATAGTACCAAGTTTTCACTGATTACTCTTAACAGGGCAATGGAGCAAAGGCTAACTCCATACTATCAAAAATTATGTTATTATTATTGATAATTATAGCTATCACCATCACAAATGACCCAAAGGAAAAGGAGACTGAGTACTGAGTGCCAACGCAAATCAAACTGTACGCACACATGTAATATGTGTATCTTCTTCCTACAGCTCTTTCAGAAGTATTAATCTGAAAACAATCCTTCCTATAACTGGAAATCTACTGCAAGATTACATTTTCAAAATTAATGGTATTAGATTATTTAAGAGAGTATGTAAAATATTGTCAAAATTCACTCATATTGATATGTTTGAAAAATATGAAGAAAACATTCCTTTTCTCAAAGATGAGAAATATTCTTTATCATTATTAAAGCATTGAATATTAATTTAAGAGAAAATATCTGGTAGTACATAATACCTCAGGGAGTAAAACAGGGGTGGCACATTCATGAGAATATTATAATGTGTTCTCAATCCCTAAAAGTGATAGGTTAATCCCCAAAAAACCTCTAAAAGTTCATGCTGTAAAAATAATGCATTCTACTAATGTAGGAATGGTGAAGAGCAAAAAAGTGGAAAGTTCCATAATTCTATGTTTTTCTTACCTAACATATAAAACTACTTTTGTCTGAATCAAGTGTGTCAAGCAAGGGAACAAATGGAAAAAGATCCATCTGAATTCAAGATTATAGAGAGAGAAGTAACAAAGAAACTGATCTTTAAATGTTAAGTGAGTATTCTGAAATGGCAAGCCTGCGAGTAGGCTCTAAGCTGGATGACAACACTTCTGTATTATCAGGCATAAGCTACACTATGCTATTTAATGTAAACTTACTGAACAAACAACTTTGTGGGGTTTGAAAATAGCAATAAAAATAAGAAAGATCAGAATCACAAGTCTTTTTAAAGATACCTGTAAGTGGAGGAGGAAAATGAACGACAGAGATTTGAAAATACAATGCCAATTAAGAACACCAAAAGAAGACAAGTGCGAGAGTGATTGAGGATCCTACAGTCTCTACGAAGAAAAATTAAGGATAATGAAATAGCAGGAATAAAGTCGAGGCTAAGATATTCTTGTGGAAGAAAGCGCAAACACTTTAGATTTCTGCAGCAAACTTTAAATGACAAAACATACCAGTATTACCTTTCTTTCGAAAGAGTGCATTTAGGTAATTTTCTGCTTGGTAGTCAATCTTATCAGTGTTGGACTGGCCCTGAGATGATAGCTCCTCCGTCGGTGTTGACTGTGAAGAATCAAGGGATGGTATACAATCCTAAAGGTATAAAAAACAGCAAACATACAAAATCACTTTGTGGTGACAACACAATTACTTCATACAACTAATCAATGGAAAAATGCTAATTTTCTAACTATCTACCTTTTTAGAATTACATTAAATTCTATTGAGGGAACATAAACTTTGAGAAAGGAATGAGAAAAAAAAATTAAGTTTAAAAAAAGGGCCAAGACAGCCTTGATCTATACCAAAATTCACAGTCAAAAAGGGAGAATTAGTTAAAAACATATGGTGAATAAATTTGCTACATGACATGCTATAATGTAATTCCATCAAAAATCTCACAAAGCTGTTGTGTTTACTCAAAAAGCTCATTAAAATGCTACAGTTTCTCATATTCTCTTTTCTTGTCAGCCTTTCTGGGAATTTTAGCTAAGCAATCAGGATTTCCCATATAAGAAATTGTTAGCTACATAGTTCATGCCCTATTTACAACATGTACACTTAAGTATTACATATTTCACACAAAACAATGATTATACCTTGAAGATTCTGGGGTAAGTGAAAGGCTACAAATTAGTTACACAAAATTAGATGTAGGGAAATCTCAGGCCAAAACAGGCCTCCAACCTCTCCTCTGCATAGCTGAACACAAAATAGACCTAAACTGAATTTTATGAGGAAGCGGAAAATAAGAAAGGAATATTAAACAAGCAAAGAAGATGAGTTTTCTAGGATTTCACCTGCTAGTTAAAGGTTAGACTTCCTACATGAGACTTTAGAGACTCCTAGTTTATCAAAATGAAGTATTTAAACTTCCACTGTGAGTCACAATTTCCAGAACAAATTAGGAAAAATTTTTGTTACATTTGTGCATTAATTTAAAAATAACTTTTTAGCACTAAAACTTACACTGACTGCTTCTCTCTGTAGATTACAAAATGAACATTTTTCATCCATAGACCAGTCAGTCAGCTCTTCTGGTTCACAGTCTTTAAAAGAGGGAAAAATATTCATTAAATATACTAACTTTATTTAAACAAATAAAATTACCACTCTCTCAACAATGGCTCACACAGTTAAAAAATACAAATGAAAAGTTAAAAAGAGAACTGCTAATAGTAAGGAGAGAAGGCCTAACCTCAAGATTAAAGTGATAACATCAACAATAAACAAGGAAGACTGTAAATAGGGAGCATACTTTTGCACTACTGTGGGACAGTGGAGCAAGACTGAGGAGCTGGCTGTAAATGAACAACTTTCACAAGAGGGTTTTAAGTATTGTCTAATCTTCTGAAAAACTCAATTCATCATCGACCATTAATTTTATTTGCTTGCTATAAGAAAACTCAGAATGAGAAAAATTTAAGGGGAAAGGAATGAATTTTGAATTTTCCTAGCATGAAAGGTAATATAAAATACAAAAACAGAAGAAAGCACAGATTTCCATGTTCAAAATAATGAAAAGATGTCTAAGATGGAAAACAGAAACCTATAGCTCAAAACTCAGATTACATTTTTATTTCCTTGTTCAGGGTCTTTGTTTGGAAGAGTCAGGGTGAAAATTATGTAAACAGGTAGGCCTATTATTCAATACAAAAGATAGTTTCTTTTTCCAAAAAATATTAACTATAATCCAACTGTTATAATATATAGTAAGTTTTTGAAGAATAAAAACATTTTCCATCAAAAAAGTTTTACAAAGGTGTAAGAACATTTTTACCTTAACTAGGCATAGGCAGTGATTTTCATATTTATCTCTTGCAGCTGAAAAGACTTTGCTATACTGTGACCATGGGGGAAAAAACACTAAATGTGTCACAGATTCAAAAGAGCTGAATACATATATCGATCGATGCAATGCAACACTGAAAACAAAGCTTATCTTTTTTAGGAGCAAAGATGAATGACTACTAGTTAGGATTACTCAACATGCTCCCCCAGCCATATTGCATCAGCCAAGATACACAGGTCAGAAGACAATTATTTTTGGAGGTATAAACCAATATAACAGCTTGTCCATTTTTGGCCAATGATATACAAATACAAGGGATGGTGTATTTAAAATATGGAAAACATGTACTAGGAAAATCCAGCCATGCATTTCAAACAATTTTTACACCAAGATAAATGTATATTGATTTGGCATAACATATCTGGAAAGAATCTTAAGTCACTAAGAAGGACAAGACCATGTCAAAACAGCCCTTCTCAAAGCAACATGATTTCTGCTAAAATTGAAGCAAAAAATAAAAAGCATCAAATTCATGTTGAACTTTGGGTGGAAGAAAAATGAGATCACGGATGCTGTGGGGACAATCATACAAAGAAATCGGCAGTTCGCAGACGGTGAGAATGGACAAGGCTATCTCGAAGATGAAGCCAGCAATGACAGACTACCCCACCAATTTATGAGGCTCTTAATAATCTTGCTCATGTCTGATTGTAGTCTGAAGATTAACAGTAAATACAGTAGCCAATACCAAAACTACACCAAAAATATCAACCTGTTCAGCTCACACAATTTTGACTAAAATTTGTTAGTGGAAGAGGCTTTGACAGGTAACGAAACGCAGGCCTGGATCAGCTGCTCACAATGCTAACACGGTCAATGGACATTCTAAACAAGTGAGGTCAAAATCCTCAATCATTCTTCTATGAATTCTAAGAAATGAAACGTGGCTTTATTAGTACAATCCTAGACAAAGCATAGTTAATGCAAAATACAATCCTAGACAAAGCATAGTTAAAGCAATGGCTACCAAAAGATCAAAGTGATTTGCTTAAAGCAAAAGTGGAGTGATGAAGAGCAAGGGTCACACCAATAATTCTCTGGAATGTTCAAGATGAATGCCAAGGAACAATTCCATCTACTTATTAAGAGAGTGCTTTGAGAAAGTTACACAAAGCTTTCACAGAAAAATGTCCAAGAAACCTTCACCAAAGAGGCATCCTCCACTAAGCCTATTCCTGTTCACTCCTCTCATCAAAGGGGAAACTTGGCAAGAGTTACAACTGAGAGACAACCGAGTACCTACCTTCCAGCACTGAACAGGCTCCTTCTGATTCACTTTTATTCCCCAGTATTAGAAATTATTTTAGAAGGTATAATTATGTTTCTTCAGTTAATAATGTAAAAAAGGGTACAGTGAAATGGTTACATTCTCATGGTCTTCAACTCTTTACTGGTGGTTTAAATGCCTGGTTATCACCGCTTACGAAAGTGCCTTGAGGGAGCTTATTTGAGAAATAATATATCTATTTTTAAGTTTTACCCTTTAATTCTCCTTTTCTATAAACCTTTTAACCCCCTAACATGAGGAATATTATATAAATTTTGAAAACAAAAGAATGGAATATAACATCTTGCATAAAGTAATGAAAAGGTGACTAGATTTAAAGTCTTTGTGACTGAATTACAATTATTAGCTGTTAACTTTTTTCAAGCCATAAAGATTTTTTACTTTAATAATCTTACCTTTACATAAAGATTATAACACCTAACTCATGTCAGACAAATGGAAAAATCTGAGAGAATCTTATCGCCTATAAAACACCAAGTAAAGTTTAGTTATTATTTATCATTTTTAAAATTCTTCACCATCACTCATACATTTGATAAAGCAGAGTGTTTCAACTGAATTATGCTAAAAAATTGGCCACCTATTTTAGCAATCCAACAAAACCAAAAGTTTAAGTAATCTACATAATTAAAAATCTGATTCAGTTCCTATAAGAACTGTAGCTATGCAGTTTTTCAAACGGAGTGGCTGCAGGTTTTCAAGCTTTTATCCTAGAAACAATTTAGAACAGAATCATACACCCACATTTTTGAATACAGGATTATGTTGCATCTCTGAAGAGGGGAACTGAGCTCTCGGACCAGTGAATGAATGGAGAGGAGGCCAGTCTGCCTCTCCACACTGACATTTTTAAAGGCACAGCAGATTTTCCCCAGTCCCCTTCAGTTTCCACCATTCCAACTGAGAAGATCCTGCTGCAGGTACTATGCTTCTTTCAGTCTGGGACCTGGAGATGGTGGAGACAACAATTCCCATACTGAAACAAATATGTGACCCATATACCATGGTACAACTTAATTTTGATAGGTCAAGGAAATATTATTGCTTTTTAAAAATCAGGACCTCTCAAAGGAATCTGGCATTGAAATTTCTGGAAAATATTCCACAAGCATAGAGAAGGGGTATTTTTGAAAAATGGTTATGTTTTCAGAAAGTTTCAGAGAACAATTTTAGATAAATTAGGACAATAGCTAAGCAGTAAAAAAATAATTTGAATGTAGGATATAGTAAGAGTTCCTTAAGGAAATGTCAGTTAAAATAATATCTAAACACATGGCCCTGTGTAAACAAGTTGATACAGAAAAGCCATTATATTTTGCTAAATTTAAAAAAGTATTCCTTTATTTACAAATATTTAACAATTATGACACAATAACTTCTGATTTTAAGTCTAAATATATGATGGTGGGATACAGTTTTATACATGAGAAAATGTTGAAAATTCAATACTAAACCAAATTTTATTATTCTTTCAGGTCACTGAAAGTTACATGCTACAATGAAATATATTCATTTTATCTACCCAACGAAATCTGACAATCCAATATTTCATTCTAACACAAATTATCTATAAAATTGGAACAGCATATAAGCTCAGAGTTAAGACTAGGTATTTGATAAGAAATATCTTCATTAATAGAAGCCAATGACAATAGAACTGAATAGTAAATGAATGACAAAAGCCAATTCCACTATGAATGCACAATTCATCTGTAGTTGAGTCTGGTCTCAATCCTTTTCTCTAATCGATTCTGGAAAGGTAACAATGAAATCAGAGAACCTTGGTCTTTAATCCCAGGTTCCCCCCCCCCCCCATATCTTACATGTGTAGGAAGCAAATATTGCATATTTAGCCTGTTTCTCCAAGAGGAATTATAAACACTGATGAATACACTAAGTCATTACCTCAGAAAAATAGGTATTACCTACTTATGCAAGTGAAAAACTAATGTGACAGTTAATAATCAAGTAGTTTCCATATTCCAGTTTTAGTAATATAATATAATCATTACAAATTAGAAAATTACTGACTTTTGAGTTTATTTCAGGCCATGAATTACTTAACAATTTTTAAAAAAATGTTAATCAGTGCTTAAAATACACACAAAAATGTTCAAAAAATATCAACCAATAAAAACATTGTGTTAATATCTTTATCAAGCAATGTTAACATGTGTGAGGGGGGAAAGAGATATTAAACTAAATGCATTAAGGTTCAGTCAGTGTTGTAGCATGTCTGAAGTCAAGACTCCTTTCCCAGAAATGGTCAACTGATAATTGTTTTAGATTAAGCAGATCATGCAGTCTCAGTCACAAGTGCTTTACTAATGTTACACAAAACAACCGAATCAGAACTATGTCCTCGGAAAATGAATTTGGAACTTTGTAAGATTTTCATGTCATAGTATTACTCTCCATTTTATTTTGTTTCCACTTAAAATTGCAAAAAACATTCAGTTCACTGGTCAATAAAAACAGTCAACAAGCTGTATTTGCCCATACATACAGCTGGCAAATCTTTGATTCAGATAATTCTTTCAATATGTAGACAAGTACAAGCATCTAACAGCCAGTTTCCATAGATTTAACTGATGAATGTTCACAGCATATCCAGTCTGTTCCAGTTTTCATGAATATTCCTAGTCAAAGCATGCAAATCAGATGACACACTGCCACTCTGTGAAACAAACTGGCCTAAGAAAACACAAGAACGAACGAACTGAGCAAACAAGAATGAATTTTTGCTTTAAAAATCCTGTGACATTAGACGTATATTTCAGGCGTAAATACTGGGGTCTTTCCTTGGAGTATGAAAACGTTTGACACGACCTTCAATTCAAAGTCCCTTTGGACATCACTTCAAAGAAGGGAAAATCGGCTTTTCTCAGAAGAGCAGAGTCATAAGATAAATCAAAGAAGCCGGGAAACTAGACTTCCGGTTTTGTTTGCCACAGAGAAAAAACCAGCAGTACAAGCCTTTCAAAAATGATTCGGAGGTGGTTTTTAGTCAAATTAAGAATTATTTTAATGCAAATATCTCAAAAAATTAGTATGTATTATTCCAGGATCATCACCTTTGAGGGAGGGAGGGAGGGAAGTGCTATATCCTCAGACTCTTATCTATGAAATATATGAAATCTATTCTCTTAGTAAAAATAAAAATTTAAAAATATTGTAATTGCAAAACAAAATTTTTAGAAGTCTGCAACTTCAAAACCCAGGACATGCTGAAGTAGTTTTAAAGTAGTAGAATTAATTCAGAATGTATTAACAAATAGCATTTCTGCAAACTAAATCTATCTTAAATACATGCAAGTATCATGCATTTCATTTGCTAATTTATAATAATCCAAGTAATATGCAACAACGTTTTGCTGAGCCTGGCATGATGGCTCAGTGGCTAAGTCCTAGCCTTGCAAGTGTGTCAGGATCCCATATGGGTACCAATTATGGACCCAGCTAGCTAGCTTCCCCATTTCTCATCAAGCTTCCTGCTTGTGGCCTGGGAGAGCAGCATAGGATGGCCCAAAGCCTTGAGACCCTGCACCCACGTGGGAGGTCTAGAAGTAGCTCCTGGCTCCTAGCTTCGGATCAGCTCAGTTCTGGCCGTAGCGGCCACTTGGGAAGTGAACCAGCGGACAAAAGATCTCTCTCTCTCTCCTTCTCTCTATAAGTCTGCCTTTCCAAAAATAAATAAATCTTAAAAAAGAATATTTTGCTATCTATTTTTTTCCCTGAGTCACAAATTACAATGAAGGCTCAGATTTCTAGTGACTCATCTGAAAAACATACACTTATCTGAGCCCAGATGTATATGAATGGAAATATTAATATTTGTAGCCTTAGCATCTGTCTGCTAAACCATATTAAATCAAGGTAACAAAATGAACAGCCTTACTTAGGAGAAGATGAGAAAGAGCCTATTTAAGCCTTCAAGATGTCCTACCATTTAACAACACTGTTTTTATTTTTCTTCATAACGTCTTTATCCTTGCACAGATATAGATGCCTTACTATAATTAATACTACTCACTCATCAACTTTATTTCAATTTTTTTAATGAAAAAAGAAAAGCAAGAAGAATTTAACTAATTCACCTGAAAAAAGAAGAGGCTCAGTATTTGGGATTCAAAGGGTAACAAGGTACAGGTTAAAATGCTACGTGGAGCACCTGCATTCCCTATCAGACTGCCTTGGTTTGATTTCACACTCCATTTGAAACTCCAGCTTTCCACCAACACGCATCCTGGGAGACAAAAGGTGATGGTTCTATTACTTGGTCCCTACCAACTACAGAAGGGAGCTGGATTGATTCTTGGGTTCCTAGCTTTGGCCTGACCCAACCATGACTTCTGCAGGCATTTGGGGAATAAATCAGCGTGCAAGATCTGTTTCTGTCTGTATGTTTGCCTTTCAAATAAAAAAATGGGACCAGCACTGTGGCACAGCTGGTTAAGCTACTATCTGGACACTGGTATCTTGTTTTGAGTGCTGGCTTGAGTCCTGGATTTTCACTTTTGATCTAGCTCTCTGTTAATGAGCAAGGAAAGGCAGGGAATGACGATGTAAGGTCCTGGGTCCCTGACAACATGAGAAAGACCTGGACAGAGTTCCTGGCTCCTGGTTTCGACCTGGCCCAGACCAGGCCATTGCAGGCACTGAGGGCAGTAAGCCAGAGATAGAAGACCTATGTCTCTCACCTATTCTCTGTGATACTTTGGTTTTCAAAAAGATAATGAATAAATCTTTAAAAAAATAAAGAGCCATGTAGAAAATATTCACTTATGTATAGGAAAAAGCCCCAAGATCCAAATGATAACCGTAAAAACATCCAAAAGAGAGCAAAAAGTACAAGACCTGCTTGAGTTAAACAGAATGGGACATAGAGAAATATGATCTTAAACTAGTCAATTAAAATAATATTTCCAAAACAAAATCTTGTACATATGATGATCTAGAACTTTACATACTCAAATATAACATAGTATGTATACTATATTGCCATATTAATATACATTAATATATATGTATATGTAATATAGTACTAAGACAAACATAACAGCACAGTGGACACAATGCATATATGTATATATTTTATACTATATACATACAGTAAATGGTATTTCAACAAAATCACAAATATATGCAACATCTATTTTACTTCTATACATTTATCTCTGAGTAGTGGGATTTAGAGCAATTCTTCTGTCTAATGTGTATTTTTTAATTTTATAAAAGTAACATGTGCTACTTGTTACGCTAGAGGCATTCAGACATGTCTGAGAGGCAGGCTCTTACACTAAGCACAGGGGTTTGACTGTCAAAGGAGAGTCTTAACAAATCGCCCCTCCAGAAGGAGATGTCCTGAGACCCTCCCTCAGGGGCATGGCCATGGAGGATGTACAGCTCAGGGATTTTATACATTCTACACAAGGGAGATGGGAGCAATGGTAGCTTTGACAGGGCAGCTCAGCAGAGAGAGCATTGGCTTGAGATAAGGACAGCAATTTCAGCAGGGTGGCTGGTACAGTATTTAGCACTGAGTCACTTCTACTCTGCCCCGCCTAACACTATTACATACAAAGACATAAGGGCAGGCAGTTAGGATACCTGTATTTCATATTAGGGACGTGGCTTACTTTAACAGATCCTGATTCCCAGCTCTGGCCTGGCCTACCAACAGCCTTGGTAGGCATTTGGGGAGTGAACTTAAGAGGGCAGAACTTCTCCCTATCTATTTCACTCACCTCTGCTGCTCCCATTAAAGAAAGGGAAATTTTCCTTAGAACATCTGCCCTTCATATAATACGTGAATTTCTGAAGGAACAAACAACATCTATGTGGGCCATGTGCATGACTATATAAACAACAGTGAGGGCAGCAAGACGCCAAGAGCTTTATACTGCAACTTGAATTACCAGAAGGTGACTAGCTACACTGACTTCAAAAACTAGAAGGACAGCAAAGAAGGCTAAAAATGTATCAGAGATTAAATTCCTGATTCTTGGGCCCAGTGCAAGCCTAGTGGCTAAAATCCTCCCACTGAATGCAATGGGATCTCATTTGGGTGCCAGTTCATGTCCCAGTGGCTCCACTTCCCTTTCAGCTCCCTGCTCGTGGCCTGGGGAAGCAGGTGAGGACAGCCCAAAGCCCTGGGACCCTGCACCTGTGTAGGAGATGGGAAGAAGCTCCTGACTTTTACCAGTGAACCAGTGGACCAGTGGAGAGATCCTTGTCTTTCCTTTTTTTTTTTTTTTTTTTTTTAATTGTTGCTTACATTGTATTATGTAGTACAGTTTTATAGGCGCTGGGGATTCCCCCCTCCCCTCCCATACCCCTCCCCCCATGGTGGATTCCTCCACCTTGTTGCATAACCATAGTTCAAGTTCAGTTGAGATTCATTCCTTGCAAACACATGCCTAGCATAAAGTTCAGCGTCTTATTGTCCAGATAAGTTCAGTGGCCTCTTGGGGTGTCTTTCCTTTTCTTTGTATACCTGCCCTTACAATAAAAATACTACTTGTACTGAACCTATCTCATATGTGCGGTAGAAATCCTGGTTACTCTGTTCCTCATCCTGGGATCCCCCTGGCATGTACTCTGGGAAGTAGCAAGTGACACCCCAGAACCAGGGTCCTTGCCACCCATGTGGAAGACCTGGATGGAGTTCTGGGCTCCTGGCTTCGGACCGGCCCCGCCTTGCTGCTGCAGGCACTGAGGAAGCAGGCCAGCATATAGATCTATCTTTGTTTCTGTGTATCTTTCTCTCTGTCTCTTTGCCTTTCAAATACAATGAAAATAAAAATTCCTAAAATATATATTTAACTTAGTGCAAAATTGTGCTAAACTAAAAATATTAAAATTAAGAAATTTAATGAAAATTCTCTAGGAATAATAAAACACTGGGATGGGCATGTGTTGCAGTCATGTTGTGCATGGCTATGATTCATATCACTTTGCACTG